ATTGGCCTATTCCTTCCGAGGGCCAACAATTTGACTAATCGAACCTTGGCTGAGGTTATACATCTGTCGACTATACCGACTGATACTTTTTAACTTGTTTTATCTGTATTAGATGAAGTAGGAAAATGGAATATTGTGGTCGATTATATCGGGTACCTCAGGTACATTTTAAAATTTTCTACAAAATATCACATATCTCATATAAAGGAAAGGAAATAACAAATTTAGTCCAAACCTGACAGTATTTATATCATATTTATTTATGTCCGATAAAAAAATGGACAATTTTGTCCCATTCCTTCGAAACCTAAACCTTTACATGACCTTAAAAAAAACACATAGGGGTCCCGTTATTTCAAAGCTCTATTTTAAAATTTGATACCTATAGAGCTTTGAAATTTTATAAAGAGCTATGAATGACTTCAAAAATTATTGATCTTAAAAATGGGGCATGTAGGTTGACTTTCTGGTATAGTTTGTATACATTAAATAAGAATAATCAATAAACACTCTCTATATTCAAAATGGCGTATTGAACACTTAAGCATGACAGCGACGATATATATTTGTGGGCCAACCTATTGATACTCCTCAACATGTTATTCACCATTTTTAACATATTTGGTATAATCATGGTGCTCAAGTGTGTTAAACCTCTTTAATTATTCATTTTACAATAATGTAATAAGCAACCAGCATATAATATTCTAATGTGCAAAAGTTGTTTTTATTTTTTTTTTACTTTCAATGTAGAACAAGTTGTATTATGTTCAACTTTATTTTAATGCCATTATCTGATTTACAAATTCAACCAAACAATCTTTTGTTAGAACAAATGTTTTGTTTAAGTGTATTAGAAAAGTTCTTCTACCAACAAACAAACACACACACACACACACACATACCCACTTACACAAAAATATGAGAAACTATGATTTATCAGAAAAACTACGGAGCGCATTGTTTGTAGGAACGTCACAACTTAAGTCAGTCCAGCAGCAGCAGAAGAAGAAGAAAAAAAAGCATAAACTTACAACTGACCCCAAAAGAGCCCCCAAAATGTCAGATAAGAGCAGCAGCAGCAGTGGCAGCAGCAAAGAAGTAGAGTTTAGACTAAAATTTACCTGAAAACTGAAACTCCTTGTCCATCGTTCATTCAGTCACTGACAACAAAAGTTTTGACGCAAGGACGCAAGAACATTAAACTAACAAAGTGGTGAGAAGGTATTGTTGTCCTGTTACTTTTGTGGTAAAAGTTTTGTCGAGTTGTAGTCGTTTTTTTTTTTTTTTGCTTCTTTGCTCCTGGAGTGCACACCGAAATCATTGCAGCAATGGAACTTTGAGAATGGAATTTGTTTAGAGTAAAAAAATGGTGTACATGCTGTGTTCATAATGGCAATAGCAATTATCAAGATAGTGGAGTGGAGTGGAGGGACCAACAAACAAATAATGAAGTAATAATAGGGTTATGGGATTTTCTGCTTTTGCTTTTAACGTTGAAGTAGGAGCTTACCGAATATTTGTTAGATCTTTTTTATTTTGATTTTTGTGGAACTCATTAAAGAAATAAATTATACAACATTTTAAACATTACCAAGAAAGGTATTACAGTATTTGATAAGGTAAGGCGGGAATACTTTTTTTCTTGAGAAAATAATGTCCTTCCAATCTTAGTTATTGGCTCATAATAGAGATATTAAAAAATGGACACTTGGCTTGAAAGTCCGCTTATAAAATTTTAAAATATTGCTCAACTTTGAAATTACATTAAATCGACGGACTTACGATGGAGAGTATAATGAGATTTTCATTCCGCCTATAACTCTTCGAAATTGGTCTCTATTTTCAAACTGAAAAACTGAGATCAAAAATGTCTATTTTGAAAATGGAAGATAAAGGTCAAAGATTTGGTAAATTTCATAAGGCATGATTTAGGTTGTGTGTTTCAAAGGAGCTCTCAAGCAAACTTGGTGTAAATCTACAGTTTGAGCTCTTAGAGGGCAAAATAATATTCTTGCAAAAGAACTACTATTTATCAATGTTTTCATAGGAATTATATGAAATTTAGTATTTTCCTTTTGCCTCCATGTATCAGTACCTCTTCATATTAGAATTTTGTTGACTGGTCATGTTGAAGGAATGGTCAAAAATTTAACTAATAATAGCCCATTAAAATTTCCATGTCAGATTTTCTTTACATTCTTCACATCCCAATATATTTGTCTGTACTTTAGCTATTTTGAAAATATTTTGAATTTATAAAATTCGAAAAAAAAAAAACGTCGGGCGAGTTAAGAAAACTGCAAGAAAGTCATATGCTGTATTTTTAACATTTTTTTTAAATTTTATTGAATGAAAGCAAAAAATTCGGAAATACCATCAAATTTTAGAATATGTTTAGATTTGTTTGAATTGGTCGTTTTTGGCACGAATTATGGCCTTCAAACGGCCAATGAAACCGTCACACGATGCCCAAATGTTGTTCTGCGGTATTTTGGCCCATTCCTGGGGAAGCGCTTGCTTGAGGTGATCGACACTTTGGTATTTTTTAGTGTCAACCTTGCTTTCCCAAATACTCCAGACACAATAGTCCGGCATATTTTGGTGGTCATTGTGCACTGGAAATGAAGCGAGAAACCTCATTTTGTAACCATTCTTGGTTATTGAGTTCGATGGTGCTTTGTCCTGTTGGAATGTTCAAGGTCTGCGGCCAAAATGTTTGCGTGTCCAAGGCTTTAATACACCCTCCAGAATATTTTTGCGATAATATTCGGTATGTATTCTGATGCCATGGTCGATTAATACGAGCGAAGAGCGGCCATCGGCTGTTACGGCGGTCCACAACATCACCATGGCCGGCGCTTGAGTTCTGGTGGCCAAGCGAAGGTGCACATTTTTAGCTGACCTCTTTGGCAAGTAAACACGATCATTTTGTTTGTTTACAAACTGCTAGACAACGAATGTTTTCTCATTGTAGAAAACCAAATTCGGCAGTTCACCACCTTCGGCCAAGCGAAGCAACTCTTTAACTTTTTTTGAGTCTATTTTCTTTATGTTGCGGTGCAAGTTCTTGCAATTTCAATGGCTTTACCCCGAGCTCATTATTCAGTATTTGCCGAATGGAATATTGCGATATCTTCTGTTCACGAGCCATTTTTCGGCCATTGCGACGCGCGTTTCGATCAAGTCGCTTCTTTACTTTTCGAACCATTTCTGCTGATGTTGCTGTTATCTTCCGTCCACTTCCTTGACGTCGGGCCACGCTACAAGCATCATGGTAACGAGCGATGGTACGAGACTCAAAAGATTTATTCACATTTGAATGATTGAGGGCTCTAACGATAGCCACTTGCGGGTTTCCATCCAAATATAAAGAAATCACGCTTGAATTCCATCACGAATAACATTTTTTGTGGAAAATTCTGACCAAACATGCTTTTGTGCGCTTGAGTTGTCGCTGGAACAATTTTGACTGCTGTCGGACGAGTGGCTTAGAAATGACAGCTGTCTGAAATTGGTTGCAGTATATGATATACCAATTTTGGAGCAAATCAGATACTCCCTTCAAGAGTTATCGTGTGCCCCAGTCAGCTAGACTGACAGACGGACGGCCCCTCTGGATCGACTCCAAATATCATGAAAAGGATTTGGTCCAACGAGACCTGGGGTCTACAACCGTTATTTCGATGAGGCATGTTTTGACCGTATCAAATGATACATACACTCTGTAGCCATCTGACTGAGGGTGTAAAAAGGTCCAACAAGACCCTCTTGTCGACTCGCTTGACTGTTGAAATTCCGGACCATCTGCAATATTTCCAAATACACTATACACCTAAAATGCACGGATATCGAATAATTTTAATCCCAGATTGGGGAAGAAAGAGGAAATTTCATCCTTTATTTCCGTTACTTTGCTATGTAAACTTTCAAAATCTCATATTCTGCTGGATTTAATTCGCATGTTGTTTTTTATTACTACCGACTTTTTATTCAAACTATCCACATCCATTATTGCTCAATATTAAATCAAAAGGAATCATATATCTGTAAAAGTTTTATGCTAGCTTTCCCACAAATGATCGAAAATTTCATAAGTCGTAATAAGCGAAATTTGTCCCCGATCGTGATAATGGTTTAACTTCTTACAATACTTCCCGCTCAAAGTATCACATTGATACCGGATGCCAAATTTTGGAGGACTTCCCGTCTCGAATCCAAGAATAGTGAATCTATTTAAAACTATTTTTTAACGTATTTTAAAAATATTTTTAAGATTCTGCTGGAAAAAGACTAAGCTTTTTTTTTAAATTATTTTGAGGTTCTCCCAGATTTAAAAAAAATCCAGGTCTTCTAGGACGACAATTCTTTTGAAAATATTTTCAACTCCGAATCCCCGAAAAATTTAATGTTTTTTTTTTAAATTTGGCCTATTCCTGAAAAAAAAAAGATCGTCAATATTTTAAAAATAAATTTTTAACGTCCCAAAATTTTGAATTTTGAAAAAAATTTTTAAAGGTCTTTACAGATTTTTTTTTTAAATGTATTTTTTAAACCAAGATTCTATTTTTTAAGTGTTTTAGGGTTTTTCATGACATAAATATATTGTTGCTCATTTTTTTCCCCGAAATTCTTAATTTGTTCTTTAGTAAAAAGTTATAATTTAAGTAACCTTTTATTGAATACTGGCAGATACATATGTATGTATGTAGATCTCAAATAATTGTTATATAATTTATTATATAAAACAACAATTATTGATTTCCTATCCTCATATACCAGTTTAAGCTCGTAATGAAATTATTAAATGTTTAGGGGCAGGTGTGGATCTCGATTTCAATTTTTTCGTATTTGTATTCGAAATTGCCTTTATTTTCTTAATTAATTCAAAAATACAAAACCTAGAGAAATTTTAATTTGTATATTTATTTATTATATTTGAACTTATTTCTTCTCACCCCCCATTAATGACGACGATTTTCATGTTGTTAATTTTCCAGATGGGCTAACTATGTTAAAGGTGTAATCCACAGTTTTATGGCAAGCGTTGGCGTACAACTTGCAAATGGTTTCCGTGCGGTCATTGTGAGTAATGTGCCTGTGGGGGCTGGTTTATCGTCGAGTGCTGCCATTGAAGTGGCCACATTGACATTCCTCGAACATTTTACGGGCCATGCAGTTGAAAGGTAAAATTTTATTTTTTAATGTTTTTTCTTGTTGTTGTTGTTGTTGCTGATGTTTCAATCACAGCGCAGGGCAGCTCATCACAGCTAAAGGGGGGCGATATTCGGATGAACGTTGGAGAACTCGCAAATTAACAACATCAGTTTAAAGAGCAGTAAATGTTTATCGTTTGCCGTAAAGTGAAATTAATTCCCAGACAATGGGTTGTGCTGGGGAAAATATGGAAAATTTATAATTTTGAGGAACTCAGGAAAAATAAAAAATAAATTAAAAATTAAAAAGTGATATTTTAAGTGAAACACAAATTAAATATACAAATGATACCAAATGTAATTGGGGCGGCCAAAATATTCAAAAAATCTTGAAAATCTCTAAATGGGAATTGTATACAGAAATTCATGTTTTTTGTAAAGGAAAATTTTGAAATTACTTAAAAAAAAAAAAAAAAATTAATATTGTATGGAATTTTATATTTTTTGCAAAGAAAATGATTTTAACTTATTTTTTTAAAGTATATTTATTTATACAAAAAAATTTTATTCCCTTTTTACACATCAAGTATTTGGTTAATGTTTTCTGTCTCCCTTTAATTTTTTTCTCTTTATCAAATTGGCTGTCATTTCGACTTGGGGTAACGATTACACACAACGTTACAGTGACGCCGAACGAGCTCTAATTTGCCAAAAAGCTGAACACAAGTTTGTTGGTATGCCATGTGGAATCATGGATCAAATGATTTCGGTAGCTGGACAAAAGGACTTTGCCCTGAAACTGGATTGCCGGTAAGTCTTTTTTTTAAATAAAAATTTTGGTGAGGGTCATTTTTTTTTCCATTGTCCCAACAATGGTTAAAAAGTGAAAAAGTACTATTCCTATTTGAAATGATATCAAAAAGGCAATTGTTCCGAAAATTGTGGGGATTATATAAAAGCGTACTTGACCCCAATTGAATTTACTTTGATATCAAAGGATTTAGGATGTGGATTGCTATTTTGTTTAAATCGAAGGGGACAATTCTAAATTCACAAAGAAACTAAAAGTCGGGCCAGTCATGGAACCCCCTAAACTAAATTCGACTACAACACAACATGTCCCTGATTTAAGTCAAGCCTGTTTGTCGGAGTTGCAATCTATGAGACGCAGTTTCAATAAGGCACCACATAATAATCGTGGGGTCTTCATATGACTACATTTACAAGGTCTATCAGTGCTTTAACAATTCATAATTTAATGTTATATAAGTACATCTTTCAAGAACTTTCAATGCTAAATAGGTGGAACATTAAAGGATAATCAAGGGTATTGACGTAGATGTTTTAAGGACTATCTGACCATTATATGTGAATCTTCAGGCCCATATTCTATGATATTTTAAAGAATATTAGGACTATATATGGGGACCTTTTAGGGATCATCAGGCTTACATAAGTGAACATTTCAGGGGCTAGCGGGGCTATAAACGTAGATCTTTGAAGGAAGTATAATATCATGACTATCCATGACTATCTGGATCTTTTAAGGACTATATGAGGATATTTTAAGGACTGTAGGGGCTATATCCGAGGATCTTTTAAGGACTATCTGGGCAATATTCGAAGATATGTTAAGGACTATATGTGCTATATTCGAGGATCTTTTAATAGCAGTTAGGTCTATATACGTGGATCTTTTAAGGATTATCCGGGCTACATACTTGAATATTTTAAGGAGGAGTTGTATACGTGGAATTATAAGGGATCTAGTCAATAATCTTTTAAGGTCTATCAGTGCTATACTCAAGGATGCTTTAAGGACTATTGGGACTTATTTGTGGACCTTATAGAACTATCAAACAACATTCGAGGAAACTTTAAAGGACTAAAGGGGTTCTCTTAGAGGACCTTTTAAGGACTTTCAGTGCTATATTCGAGGATACTTTAATGATTGTAGGGGTTGTATTCGAGAATCTCTCCATGATTATCTGGGCTATATTCGAGGATCTTTTAAAGACTATATGAGGATAATTAAAAGACTGTACGGGCTATATCCGAGGATCTTTTAAGGGCTATCTGGGCTTTAAGAACTATATGAGCTATATGGGAGGATCTTTTAATAGCTGTTAGGTCTATATTTACGGGCCATATACGTAGTTCTTTTAAGGATTATACGGGCTATATACGTTAATCTTTTCAAGAGCAGAATATACGTGGAACTATAAGGGATATATTCATTAATATTATTATAATTCATTAATATTATTATTGCTATACTCGAGGATACTTTAGGGACTATTGGCGCTTATTTGTGGATCTTATAGAACTATCAAGAAACATTTGAGGATCTTTTAAGGGCTATATATACAGGCCTTATATATGGGTCCTTTAAGGATTATCCGGGTTATGTGTGTGGAATTTTTTACGAACTGCAAGCGATCTATTTAAAGACTATCAGTGCTATCTCCGAGGATCCTCTAAGACTATCAGAGCTATATTCGAGGATCTACTAAGAGGTGTTAAGACTTATATATGAGAAATATACGTGGATCTTTTTAAGTAATATAAGGAATCTGTTATACAGGGTAAGATGATAAACCGCAACTAACTTCAGACTGCTGTCATTTCTAAGCCACTCGTCCGACAGATGTTAAAATTATTCCAGTGACAGCTCAGTTATTGTTATGGAATTCAAGCTGGAAAACCACAAGTGGCTATCGTTAAAGCACTCTAGCATTTAAATGTGAATAAATCTTTTGTGTCTCGTACCATCGCATTGTACCGTGATACTGGTAGCGTAGCCCGACGTCAAGGAAGTGTACGGAAGAAAACAGTAACATCAGCAGAAATGGTTCGAAAAGTAAAGAAGTGACTTGACAGAAAACCGCGTCGTTGTGGCCGAAAAATGGCTCGTGAGCTGAACATATGGCAATATTCTATTCGGCAAATCTTGAAAAATTGAAATTCCAAAAAGTTCAAGAACTTACACCGCAGCACAAAGAAAATAGACTCAAAATAGCTTAAGAGTTACTTCGCTTGGCCGAAAGTGGTGAACTGCTGAATTTGGTTTTCTCCGATGAGAAAACATTCGTTGTCCAGCAGTTTGTAAACAAACAAAATGAACGTGTTTACTTGCCAAGGAGGCCAGCTAAAAATGTGCGCCTTCGGTTGACCACCAGAACTCAAGCGCCGGCCATGGTAATGGTGTGGGCCGCCATAACAGCCGATGGTCGCTCTCCGCTCAGAATAAATCCATCAGAATAAATACCGAATATTATCGCGAAAGTATTCTGGAGGGTGTATTAGGCATGCAAACATTTTTGCAGCAGACATTCCAACCAACCGCGCCACCCAAGAATGGTTACAAAATGAGGTTCCTCGCTTCATTTCCAGCGCACAATGGCCACCAAAATCTCCCGACACCAATCCATTGGAGTATTGTATCTGAAGTATTTTGGAAAGCAAGGTTGGCACTAAAAAATGCCAAAGTGTCGATCACCTCAAGCAATCGCTCCGACGGGAATGGGCCAAAATACCGCAGAGCAACATTCGGGCATCGTCTGACGGTTCCATTGGCCGTTTCAAAGCCATAATTCGTGTCAAAGGTGACCAATTTGAACAAATCTTAACTTATTCTAAAATTTGATGCTTTTCCGAATTTTTTTGTTTTTGTTCAATAAAATTTAACACATGCTACCATCTCACCAACTTGCCAGTCAGCTTTTCTATCGTCATCACCATAAAATATTTAAATTGTTTCAAAGCTTTTTTTTTGTTTTTCAAAACAATGCCATGACAAAAAATATCCCTTTTCATACACCCACATGCACCAAACAACGTGCCAGGCAGTAACAAATAACTTTGAATAAATGCACAAATTTGCTTTGAATAGAACAAAGAAAGAAAAAATAACTGCTTCGCCAGTCACAACGCGAAAAAGGCTGACAGACACTGATATGCGCTTTTGTTAGCACTTTTCGAGAATACAAAGTGTTCCACAACTCGGCTCTTTGGGTAATACTTTATGTGACAGTTGTTGCTAACAAAAATGCGCTGTTGTTGACAGTTAATGTTGCGAGTAACAAAGACTGCAGTGGGGGTAATGGCGAATGGAATCATTTGTTGTCTTCAAGGAGTTATGAGACGAAATTTTGTCAAAATTCACTTTATGTGTCGACTATTCCGGACACTACGCAAGTCTCCTCCAAGAAAAATATTGACCTATTTTATCCAATATGATAAAATTGATTTTTCAAATTTAAGTAATGATCGATTAATGATTGTACAGGGTGAGATAAAAAACTGCAACAAAGTCAATCGCAATAATTTTTAATTTTATTAAATGAAAGCAAAAGACTGTCGGAAATAGCATCATAGGTTAGCAAAATAAGTTTAGATTTGTTCGAATTGGTCACCTTTGGCACGAATTATGACCTTCGGCCAATGAAACCATTACACGCTGCCCGAATGTTGCTCTCCTGTATTTTGGCCAATTCCCGGCGAAGCGCTTGCTTGAGGTGATCGACACAATGGTATTTTTTAGCGTCAGCCTTGCTTTCCAAAATACTCCAGACACCATAGTCCAACGTGTTGATATCCGCAGATTGTAGTGGCCATTGTGCGCTAAAAATGAAGCTAGGAACCTCATATTGTAACCATTCTTGGGTGGCGCGTGCTGAGTGCTGTTGGAATGTACGAGGTCTGCGGCCAAAATTTTTGCGTGCCCAAGGCTTTAATATACCCTCGCGATAATATTCGGCATTTATTCTGATGCCACGGTTGATTAATACGAGCGGAGAGCGACCATCGTCTGTTATGGCGGCCCACACCTTCACCATGGCCGGCACTTGAGTTCTGGTGGCCAACCGAAGGTGCACATTTTCAGCTGACTTCTTTGACAAGTAAACACAATCATTTTTTGAGAAAACCAAATTCGTCAGTTCACCACTTTCTGCCAAGCAAAGCAACTCTTTATCTCTTTTGAGACTATTTTTTTTCTGTTGCGGTGTAAGTTCTTCCACTTTTTGGAATTTCAACGGTTTTACCCCGAGCCTCCCTCAATGTTCAATATTTGCCGAATGGAATAAATGGAAAACCAAAGTGTAGTAAAAATGTTATCGGACGGTACATTTAAACTTTGCAGAATATCCTATTTCATATCAACCCTCTAACTTAATAATATCCCAAGTAGGCGTAGAGTACAACCAAAGCAAAATGGAAAAAAATAACCCCAAAGAGATGTCAGAAAATTGGTGGTTTGCCTCTGAAAAAATATTGTTTTTTTTTTTGCTTTTGTTTCATTGCAACCCCTTCAGTCTATGATTTCTTTACAATTTCCCAGAAATATTTTGCATTTTCGTATTCTTTTTTCTCGTTTTGTTTATTTTGAAGATGCTTTGTTCTTTTGCCATGTATATTGCTGTTGTTGTTGTTTATTTTTTCGGTAAACGAATATGCAAAGTTATCTTTTTGGGAGCGAATGGCGTTCTTATGTTGGCATATCTTTGTGCCTTTCGTAAAGAAATGTTGTGTTGCGACTGCAGCTGTCGTAATGCTACTAACATAATCATATGCACCCACAACATTTTCAGATTTTTATTTGGGGTGTTAGTAATTCGATGAAAGGGCAATACAAGGTTGGTGTGATAGGATTTTATACCCTTCACCATTCTATGGAGGGTATATTAACTTTGTCATTCCGTTTGTAACTTCTCGAAATACTGAAGTTAGACACAACAGGGTATATATATTCTTGATCAGCGTAACATTCTAAGTCGATTTAGCGATGTCCATCTGTCTGTTTGTCTGTC